CATCACATGGGGGTCACAAACATTCAGACCACAACAATATGGACTGAATTATTTCAATGATATTGAATGAACATCTTTTAACCAGTAATGTTCTCTGGATTCTCAGAATATATTTGGTAAAGGTGGGCAGTGTCTTCTTGCCTGATTAACTCAGAAATGCATAAAGGTGAGATTTTCAGATAATTTTCATACCCTTGCGCTCGCCCAGTGCCTTGCATTTGAGGACGTCAGACGAGCTATAGATGTGCTTTAAGTGGAGAGCTTAACAAATACCAACATATTTCCTGAGAGGTTTGGAAGAAATGAATCGTATGTATGCAAATTATGACTATTTCGTAATAACAAAACCCACTGCTAGTATTCTGAACGGGGCTCCTATAAAACACACTAATCCAAAACTGACAATCTTGTTGTGTCATTGTAGACAAAAAGGAATTGTGGAGATATTGATTTTATATCAACACAGGCCTACAGAAGCATGATTTAGGAAACATTTAAATAAAAGACCAGTCAGAGAAAGGGGATTATATGAATCTTCAGGACAGAGAGACGATCAGTCTTGAGATCTTATTTAATGTTCACACCTGCGAGTGCCACAGACTGCCTACGGTTTGGTCCTAGGTGGTTGGGGCGAATCTTAACACTTGTGGGATTTTTGTGAAGAGCTGGTCTTCAGTCCTGGGAGTGTTTTCAGGGGGGTTATCAGCAGCAGAAGCCTGGCTGAGCTCACTACATGGTGGGAAGTGCTGCTCCATAGGGTCACCAAGCAAGTGGCCTCATTTTTTCCCAAACCAACCACTTACATTGTTCAGTAAACACACACCCAGGCCCCAATCACCTGAAGCACTTCTTCCCAGGTGTGTTCTTCTCTAGGGGGCTGTTTGGACTTTCTCACGATCACATACACAGATCTCACTTTCCCTCGTGTCCATGCAGTCAGTAGTTGATGACGAATGACCCTGCCCTGGTGTGTGTTCTGTTGCATGTAGACAATAGGCACGTTGGGGGTGGAAACAGCTCTCAAAACGGACCCATCCTCTTGGCTACAACTTGAATTCCCACACTGCTCATTTCTGGCCTGGAGCGTAGCCGATTCTTCCTTGCACCACCTATAAATAAAGTTTCTACAACCCAAGTCTGACCGTGGTGATCCTTGTTTGGAAAACCCTTGAGGGGTGTCCCATAGCCTTGGTTTCTTTTCACCCCTATTGGGGTGCTGCCCTCCATGACCTGGCTGGGTCACCTGCACTTCAGTCTCACCTCCTACCACTTCCCCTCTCCCATCCCTCTGCTAGAGCTATTACCTGGTGTTCAGCTGTGATGGGATCTTGAATCCCACTGAAACTTTGCTCCTACCTACCCCATACCCAGACCTGCCTTTCCAACTCTCATGGTACTGTCATTTTTAGCACATTATTAAAAAAACAACGGACATTCTTTGGACTAAAATAGGGACATTAAAATGGAAGGAGGAACGGTAGAGAATGTATGTAATAATGAACATGATTTGACCAACCAGACAAATACATAATTTGTGCAGGTTAAAAAAGCATATTAATAACTTCATGAGGTTAACCAGTTTAGGACTCAATTAGAAATGTGATCCCAGGAACTACATACAAATTATTATAATTATGGTGACAGGAAATAGCACTCTGAGGAGATGGTAGGAGGCAGAAATTTAAAAGGGGAATATATTATTTTAAAAGTCAGGCAGCTTGTCTTTGCGGCCCTAAGAGTTGAATTGGGAAAATTAAAGATCTCAGATCATAAAACTACCACCAGAATGAAGTACTAAGCTAATCCACTCAGCAGAAAGCAGCTCACCACCATAATTGGAAACACAGGCTTGTGGTTACTTAATAGAAATGAACATTTCATCATGTCGGGGCCAGTGTGTACCATAGATTTAGCATACCATCTCTAACATATTTTGCAACTTGGACAATTAATTCCACACCTGTACTGTCCCATATTCAGCTTTATAAAACATGTCCTCCCCATAAAAATAAATGTGTGTGGCAAATAGCCCTCTCCCTTGTTTGCCAAAAAAACAGATTACTATCAGGAAGGCCGAATTATCACCTGCTGTCAACAAACAGATTACCCAAGTTAAGGTCATTACCACTGCTGTCATTATCTTACCTATTAAAGCTGTTATGGATGAACGTAGGGACGAAATGTGCGGTCTTGAATTTATCGGGGGCTTCTATTAGACCTTTTTGAACTTCATTTTTCATGCTTGTAAGACTATGAATTAAAACTATCCATGCAGCCCTACATTTTTTTTTTTGAGAGAAACTGCCTCTTTAAATGAAGAATTTTTTCCTTACTGCTAAAGGTTTTAGATTAACTCAGCATCCCATGAACCTTTTCATGTTGTCATCTCCCGACATTTTTCTTTCTGGATTTTTAGAACTATAATACAAGATAAAAATACACTTGGAGGTGAAACAGCGAGAGGGGGAGATAACAAGGGTATTTATTTAGTTTCCTCTTCTGTTTTTATTTTTCCCTGATTATTTATGTAATTTATGCTTCTACTCATTTTTAGCCTCCAAAGTCTGTTTCAGTTAACTTTGATTTCCACGATTCTAGTTTATTTAATTAAACTCTTTGAAGACTTTTGCCCACCCCATTTAAATGAAACATGACCGAGGAGAGAGTGAACATAAACATCTTTGCATAACGGATACGTTGAAAAATGCATGACCACTTAAATGTCACAACTCGGTGAAGCATTTCTTTTTCATTCTAGTGCTACTGAATTTTGAGGACAAGCTGAATTTTGCATTTGCATCTTTGCTAAAATCAGGTAGTACCACAGTCTTGAGCTGAGAACGACCTCCATGATGAACGTGTGGTTTGGGAGCTCAAAGAATCTCTCCCTCTGCTCTCCTCTGCTCCGTTCTCCCTCCCATTTTCCCTCCCTCCTCCCTTCCTTCTTTTCCTTCCTTCTTTCCCCTGGCAAATAGCCAGGGCTGTGGGCATGACAGATGTAAGGCCAGCCTTGGGCTGAGGCGGTGAAGTCCACATCCAGGGCAGCTGCCCCACCGCCCACATCCTGTGCCTCCGGGGCCTGTTCCCAAGTGTGGCTCGCATTTGGCCAGGTCCATCGAGCCCTGGGAATTAATTTTGTTCTGGGTGGTGTAGCTCTTCCTGACTAGACTGCTCATTTACTTGCTCTTCAGCAGTCGGGCTGCGGTAGCTGAGACTCCGAGAATGAGGTAAGGTCTGATTCAGATGTCCTACCAGCAGAATCCCACGGGTGGAAAGGGGCAGGGGAATACAGACCGGAAAAGGAAGTAAAAGGACACAGAAACAATTAGGTTATTACGAGGCCAAGTAGATCAGAGCTTGAAGACGGGTGTAAAGGTAGGTGAATGGGGCAGGAAACTAGCATTTCCTGAGCATCTACTAGGGGCAACTAGGGAGGGAGGGACGAGGGTGAGGATTAGGGTGTGACCTTGTCAGTTGTTCACAGTCTCCATCATTCCCCAAGTGCATCTCTGACCAAAAGGGCTTACTGTTTTTCTCAGGCAGGAATTTTTATGCTGTGAAACAGAAAATCTATGCTTCTTGGGAAAGGCAGCTGGCTTCTCAGCTCCCATCCATTGTGGCCACATAGGAATGCATATGGTGTGATGAGCTCCGAGTGTTCAACAGAAGGGAGTGTTCCAGGTTTGTATGTGCATGTGTGTGTGTGTGTGTGTGTGTGTACCCTCCTGATTTTTCAATTTTGGCAACAAAACAAAAAACTTTAAAAATTAATTAACACTGTCTTTGAGATGAATGTGTGGAGCTGGTGGTTTAGGACTGCTGTCCTGAGCCGTAGGAGAACTGGCCGACTCACTTCTCAGCCTAGCCCTGAAAGGGGGGTATACTCTTCCCTTTCACAGGAATCAAAGGAATTAAGGAAATGACAATGTGCCTGGAATAAAATGGAATCAGCACATCTCTCCTGGGCACCTACTGTATACCAAGTGCCATGTAGTTCATGTGGGAAGATGGAAGCACCTGCCTGTAGACACTTCTGGTCTACCTCGGGATACTGGAAGGATGCATGAAAGTTAAGGCACCACCACAGTCTTTAAATAACAGTTCTGAACAATAAAACAAGGTCTTCCAGGATCAATTGCCAAGTGAATGGATAATAATTTTTATAGGAAATCCTAGGAAGTCGAGAGACTTTTCTTGGGGCTTGATTTAGAACAAAAATTTGAACAGGGATCGAAAGATTTGGAATATTCTCCACAATCTTGTGGAGGGACTAAGGCTGCTTCTTTTTTAGAAGAAACCCAGAGGGTTGGGTCACTTGCCCATGATGGGACAGTATGTTCATGGCAAATCCATGCCTAGAACTTCAGGGGCTCTTGGCATGAATGGGTCATTTTGTTGGACTCTATCTTGGATCTCTAACAGGCAAAGGTCAGAATGGTTTTAACTGGAGGCTTCCAGTGTGACCATAGAAAACCTATGCATGTTGGTAAAAAGCTATCTAATGTGGTCTTAATATTTTCCTACTTTCTTCTAGAAAAACATATTTCTTTCTAAGTGAAAGTAGTTCACTTAGAACTACTTTCTTTCTAAGTGAAAGTAGCACCTGGCTGGGGAGCCCTATAGTTCCCAGGTATGACAGTCTGCCCCATACCAGTGGAACATTTTTACATCATCACTGGGGGCTGCTTTAATGACCTGTAGCCTTGAACCTGGAAGAAGCTGAGGAGATTATAGGAAAAAATTACACCAAGTGTAGAAAGCGGAGGGAAGGGAACATACAGATAACTTCTCTCTGGCTTGCATAAGGAATCCTAGCTGTGCTATAGAGTAGTGATTTTCAAACTTGATTTTATTAACTACAGAGCCCTGTGTTTGACTGAACTTTGCAAACACAAATTCCCAGTTGAAAACAGATGAAATGGTCCTCCTATGTCCTCTGCACCTAAACCTTCACTCAGGGTGCCTGATTCAGGCCTTGGAAATCCTAGAATCCTGGAATTTGTTCTTTCCAAGAATGGGAAGGATGGATAAGAATCAGACTTGGGGGAAGACAAGTGGTCTAGGACAGTTCTTTCCAAACTACAGCTCATTTACCCCCAGGACTGTGGAAGGGCAACCGGAGGATAGAAGAAGAGATTAGAATTTGTGTATTTTTCTTTTGTATCACATCCTCTATCACATCCTCTTCAAGTTTTTCTTGGATTATATGTTATCATGCATATAATATATTAGTGCAGTAGGAGTAATTTATAACCAAGTCATATCACATTATGTTATAAATTAGAAAACACTCTGGGGGGATGTGCTCAATTTTATTTTTAATTTTACTCGTGATGCAAGGATTAGAAATGTTTGGAGACCACTGTCCTGGACTATGACTTTCAAATACTAATTTAAAAAAAAAATTTATTTATTTTTAAGTCTTCTCCACACCCAATATGGGTTTCAAACTCACAATTCTGAGATCAAGAGTCACATGCTCTACTGACTAAGCCAGTAGCCATACTGGACTATGACTTTCAACCTTTAGTATTTCAATTCTCTTCTCCAAAAGGACCCAGATCCCACCATGATAGGAACAAGAAGCCGGGCTTGTCCAAGAAGAGAGTTTGACCGCTCCCAGGCATTCTATAATTTGTCATTTATGGCAGGTTTTGAGGACATCAACATTGCAGTGGTATTTTTGAGAGGAAATTTTTATCACTATAGCTCCAAAACACATCACAAACAGAAACAATAATTTCATTAGTAGCTGAAAATTGTAATAATACTGTTGAATATAAATTTCACTGCTGTGGTAATTCTGAAATACAAGGATGATAAATAAAAAAATTGCAGCACTATTATTGGGAATAAACTTTATTGCCATGAGTAAGACACAGTGGGAGGATTGATGGAGACTAAAATTTTGGGTGATGGTTTTCAGCCAGTGATATGGGTATTATCAGTAGGAATGTATTTTTTTTTTTCCCTCCAGTATTGTATTCTTACTTCTGGTCAACAGTCCTTGCTCCACAGGAAATGGGATAATGCTGTCTTCACTCCAACCCAACTCTCACATCTGTTTCTTACTCAGTCTTTTATTACCTCAGTAATTCTATCTTGTTACTTCAGTCAAAAACCAAGGATCACCCTCTCTTTCCCTGTTCCTTCACATCAAACCTATCCCCGAGTGCTATCAGTTCTGCCTGTAAATCATTGTGTTCCTCTTCATCTTCTCTGCCACCTCCTGGTGTGATCCTGGATGACACAGTACCTCCTACTGGATCTACCCATTTCCCTCCAAATATTTCATCACTCAGGACCAGAGTGAACACTGCCATCCAGCCAGTGGATTAGCCACCTTCGAGCTAAAGCCCTCCTGTGGCTCTTTCCCTTTTCCCAAATTTAATCCAAGCACCTTGCTGTAGTCTTCAGAGCTCTGCAAGAGGCCAGCCTCACCTATGTTTCTCCCCTTGGGTCACCTAGGGAGTGATTATGGACTAGCTGGACTGAATTATGTCCTGTGAAAATTCACATGTTGGAGCTCCAAACCTCACAATGTGAGGAGGGGGCTTTGGGAAGACATAAGGTTTAGGTGAGGTGATGAGGGTGAGCTCCTCAGGATGGTATTAATGCCCTTCTAAGAAGAGACACCAGAGAGCTTTCTTCTTTCTCTCTTTGCCTTGTGAGAACACAGTAAGAGGATGGCCTTCTGAAAGCCAGGAAGAAGGCTCTCACCAGGAACCGACTCAATGGGGCCCTTGATTTTGGACTTCTTATCCTCCAGGACTGTGAGTAATAAATGCCTGTTAAGTCACCAGTCTGATGCTTTGTGATGGCAGCCTGTGCTCGCCATCCCTGAGACACTCCTGTTCCATCTCTGAGCTGCTTCATGTTCATCCTTCATGTTCTCAGCGATCTGGCCCTCTCGTGGAGAGCCCCTCCCTGACCATCCCTGCTACAGCAGCCACGGGGTCCTCTCCACACCAGAACTGTGGCCTCCACTCCTCCAGGGGGCGCTGTTCACACAGATTGGAGGCGGGGCAAGATGGCCCCCGTTGCTTAGCAAAGAAGTGGTCCTTCATTATCTCCTCCCCCCCCCACCCTTCACAGACATTATCCTAATCTGACATTACCGTGCATGTCTGTTATTTGGATAAACAGAAGCCGGGTCTTTAAGAAAAAGGAGGTCTTCTGACTTCCAGGTTCATAGTCCAACATCTAATGGCAGAGACAGAAGCCATGTCTCCGTTGGCAAACAAAATCCTCACGTCTGCCATCCCTGCTCATCAATGAGAATTGCGTGGAGCAGTGTCTTGCCAAGCCACGGTGGAGCCTGGTCCAGGGGTACCAACTCAGTAATACCCATCCTGTCTTTACTGAGAATTTTGAAATTTTGTTCATCAGTTTTATCTCCCCGTCCGTTTTTTAAGGACCTTGCATTAAACTACTACCATGATTACTGAGATTGTGGTGTTCCTGCAAGTGCCTCACCTGCCCCACGCTCGTCCTGGCCCTGACTGGGAACCTGATATCAATGAGGGATATATAAGGAGTACGTAAGGAATTCAAAGTCTTAATTTGGCTCAGGGGCAGAGATGGATTGCTTACGAACATGGGTTGCGGTGTGTATGGATTGGGGCACATGCCGTCTGTTGCCCGCCCTGTTAAACTGACATTCAAAAGCAGCCCGCGGCAGGGGCTAGGAAATTTCACACAGTTGCCTTTCATTAGCCCAGCACTGACTGAAGCGTGGGAGCATAACCGAGGGGTGGAAAGGGTGGAGCTTGGGAGCCTCATGGTCTTTGGGTTCAAATCTTGCTTTTGTCAGTTTATTAGCAGTGTGGTTTGGGGCAAGTGATTTATCTTCCCTGAGCCTCAGCATCCTGGTTAGCAAACTGGAGAGGTAGAAATGCCACCTCTTTCATTGGGTTGTTGCGAATATTAAGAGATCATTGATTTGTCCTGCACATATCCTCGTAGTGCCTGCAGTGTGCTCGCTCTGAACCTGGCGTCGGATTCCGAGGTGAGCCTCAGAAAGGAGGATGCTGTCTTGCCCCCCTCGGTGTTTGCTGGCTGGAGGGTGTGGACGTGAATCCGAATTGCCCATGTGCAAAGTGCCCACGCTGGGACAGGGTGGTTGCCTTTATCAGAGAGATGGGGGAGGGGTCAGTGGTGTTGGTGAGATCCCTAGAACACAACAGGAATTTAGCATAGCAAGTGGAAGGGGTTCCCACATAGGAGAACCAGCTTTCACAGAGACCTGCTGGAGAGGAGGTCATGGCCTGAGTGCAAGAGGAACGCATGCCATGGGGCTAGGGAGCTGAGCAGCAGTTTATGTAATTTATGTTGCTGCATTTACCATTGTCAGCCACTCTGCTGGGCTCTGGGAGATGTAGGGAAGATGGGCTGCAGAAAGTTTGCTAGCCTGCTCATGCCACCTGCAGGAAGGACAGTTCTGCCTCCAAAAGCAGGAATTGAGGCTCTGTGTTCCCTAGAGAAGGTTCCAGTAAGAGGCAGGAGAAGCCCAGCAGGGTGAAGAGAGAGGGAAAAGAGTTAAATCAGAAAGAGCCAACCTTAGGACGCACAGTTAATAAACAAGAAGGGACGTTTCTGTGTCACCAGCCGTATTCCTTTGGAAATAAAAATTATTTTTCCAGAAATAACTTAAATATTCAGCAAGAAAAGGTCCTGAAGTGTACAGCGCCAGTGCTGAGAAAATCCCCTGGTGTGTTAACATTTCTGAGCAACATGTACAGGCAGCTCTCATAGCCCCTGTCCATTGGAGTTGAGTTCTGGATGAATCTTAAATGTTTCAGCTGCTAACGTGTTTCCATGGGCCTGTCCCAAGTGGACAAAAAATTAGGTGATAGAGGGACAGAGCAAAACTGTAACTTCACAAATAAATTTCAAACTCAGGTTGAAGGGAAATTTGCATTTGTAAACCTTGCAATGCTGGCAAAGTGCATCCCCTCCCTGCCTCCCTGCGCCCCCAGAGGTCACGGGACAGGTGGAAAAGAGCTGTTAATTCTGTCCCTCAGTCTCATGCTGTCCCACGCCTGGCGTGACCTCAGAGAGTGTGAGTTTCCAAGTTCTTTCTTGAGACAGCGTGCCGTGAGTGCTTGTCATGCGAGTACCATTCGTGGCAGCTGATGTCGCCTGGACGCGTTCCCAGGGTCCACCAGAAGATAGCGGCTTTTTATGGCCTTTCGCATTTGAACTAGTGACCCAGAGGTGAGACATTCTATATTCCATTACTGACTCCCTCAGCAATCCCAGGCACCCTGACACGGCTGTGACACTTAAGTCATGTGCGGCATGTGGCTCGGCTCATGGTGAAAAGCTACACCGGACTGAAAGTGAATCCTCCCTGCAAACCCCACGATTCCAGTGGGACAATTAACAGCTCTGACTGTCCCGAGGGGGTCTGCTGGAGCTTTGTCATGGTCAACCTGTTCAGAAACCCAGAAGAGGGGTGCAGTCTGTTGTTGATACCTCTCATCAGCTCAAGGGCTCTCTTTCCTTTTTTTTTTTTTTTTTGTGCGGGGAGAGGTGGGCAGTTCTAATCAGTGCCCTGCGGCGGGCCAGAGGGACTCAAGTGATGATTCAGGGCAACTCAGAGGTCGCAGGATGTTTAGACAGTGATGACAAGAATAGCAGTCAACAGGTTGTCCTCCCCATCTAGGGTCTTCTGTGGGTGGGAAAAAGCAGTCATTACAGAGGCCAGTGAAGCTTAGTGTCGTTTGTTAATAAAGGCTTTATAAGAGCCAGGAGAAAGCCATCTGGTCCTGGGGCTCTGCCAGGTTGAGGAGACTTTAATAGCTTCTTGAGTTTCAGCAGTAAAAATCGGGCTATCCGGGGAACAGAACATGTGCTCAGGAATGGTGAGGAGTCTGGCTTATTTAAAAAGTGAGGGGGGCCTAAGATAACCCTTTCTGTTGGCATGGGAGAGAGATGGGCCGGGTGGCCCGAACAGCTGCTCCAGGGATGCAAAGAGGCATAGTTTACGATGGCAGCTCTGCATCCCAGGTGACCCCATTGTCTGGGATGCACGGGCACCAACAACATGAAGAGACTCGTTACATAAGAGGCTGTCCAATCATCCTTTAGGCAAGAGACCTCATTCATAAACTCCGTGCCCATAGAAAGGAGCATTTAGGGTCAGGGGTTTCTATATCCCTTTTGCAGAGAATGGTAATTAGCTTTGGTTTGAGGAGATGTGGATTTTTCTAGTTTGTGAAACTTGGAGGCCCAACTAAACCCCAGTGACCTATTTCATGAAGGAAACCGTCGAAGGGCTGATGGTCACTCTCCAGAGAATCGCTTGTCCCCCTCAGAACAAAGGAAGATGATATTTATTCATGGTATTAAAAATTTTAAATTAAGTCATCTTGTAGCAGTCTCCTGAGAAAGAAATAAAAATGTACAGGGACACTGGTTAGAAATGCTGCTATAGATTAAGACTATGGAGGCAATTAATATTGAGAAAAAGTCAATCTAGCAAGGTAAGAAACTGAAATATTTATATAAAAAGTTAAAAAAAATCCCATTAGCTATTACCCAGGTGGACATATCTCCATGTAATTATGGAGTCCGCTAACAAAAGCAAATTTCTCTCTCCTTGGTTCCATCTCTAAGGCATTCGAGTTGGCAGAAGTTCTTTTCATGAGGAAGTAATTTAAATAGATACTGAATGAGTTAAGGGTCTTCTCTGTAAATTGCTCTTATTCTATAGGTCAAAAATGTGGCTCCCATGGGCCGAAGAGAACAGTCGGGAGAGAAGGAAACTACTGGATGCCTAGTAGGTGTGCAATATGTCCTTGTTGACCTGTATTAGGAAAGATGGCAGAAGACTGATTTGGGGAAAGAGCAAGGCAGGGGATATGAACAGTACTTAGGAGTTTGCAAAAGTCATTCAAATAAATTGTCCTGTTGGAGCTGCACCCAGAGCCACTGGGGTCAGAGCGACATTACACCCCACAGTTATAAGCTCAGAGAGGTATGAGGACACACCGAGGCTATTACAGCCTTGAAGGGATGGTGGGGCTACACTGGGACTAACTGTCCTTATTGGTAGAGAAGATGGTTAGGCTTCCTTCTGGGGCAACGGATTCTTGTTCGACCACACACCATGAGTGCATGGGAAGTCCAATTCTGTGTTCTCTGCTTGTGCTCTGGGGCTCTAAGCGTCGCTGAAGGAAGTTCTGTGACCGTGGTGAGAGACACCACCACGAAGTTACAGTCTGTAGTTTTGTTAGACCTTCCGTGCCTCTTGAACTCTCATTGCTTTTCCCTAGTTAGCCACCTTTCCCATCCAAACTGAACTATTCCTCACCGTATGCAGATTATGTAGATAGTCTTGCCTCACCTTTCATAGAGGGGAGAAAAAAGGTCTATCCCTTGGGAGTCCCTCATTTTCCTTGCATATACCCAAACATTTATTCATGGCAACCCGCATCTCCTCTCCTCTCCTGTCACAGATAAAGCTTGTTAAAGTCAACTTCTGCTATGTCTGAGTGTTGGCGTCCTCTCCAAATTCTTACGTTGAAGTCCTATGCCCCCAGTGTGATGGTGGTATTAGGAAGTGGGCCTGATGAGGTCATGAGGGTGGAGGCCTCCTGAATGAGATTAGTGCCTGTATAAAAAAAGGTTCCAGAAAGTTCCCTTGCTACTTTTCACTAGGAGAGAACACGGCCAGAAAGTGTCCTCTATGAACCAGAAAGTGGACCCCCACCAGATTCTGCACCTGTTGGTGCTTGGATCTTAAACTTCCCATGTTTCAGAGCTGTGATGTATTTCTGTTGCCACTAGTCTCTGGTAGTTTATTATAGCAATCTCAATGAGTAGATTGAGACAAGCTGTTCACCTGTACACTGGATCACTTAATACCTTCCAGCTTTCCTACTATCTTTTCCCATTGTTCCTGTCTTTCTTCCTTCCTTCCTTTCTTTCTTTCTTTCTTTTTTTTTTTTAAATATTCAGTTTCTTCTGGTTTATTCATGTAAGTCTATCCAAGATGTCGGGCTGCTTCCCAACCCCCTCCCAAATTACTCTGCTCTTGATCTTGCCTTATCTTCTCTTGATCCCTGTGCCCTACCCCCTTTCTCTTTGAAGCCATAACAATTGTTTTTAACTCAACATTTTATTGAAAGACTCTTGCTAAGGGTACCAACAGCCTTGTCTTCAAAACAAATGACCAATTTTCAATCTTCTTTCTTGATTCTTTTAAGAAAGTAATTGTCTATGTTGACAACCCCCATATTTTGAATACTTTCCTTCCTTACCTACGTCCCTTTCTTTACTCATTCACTCACTCAACAAATATTTATCGAGTCCTACTATGGGCTAGGGGCACTGTTCTAGGTGCTGGAGGTATAGAAGTGTATCATATTCTAGTGGAGGAGGCAGGCAAGAAAGAAATATGGAAATGAACATAAAGTATCATGCTGGATAATGATGAAGCCATGATGATGGCCAGCCTTCCAGAGAAGGGGTCTCTTCTCTCTCTTCCAATGTCTTTGATCGTCTCTCTTGTTCTTTTCTCTGGTTCTTCAATTTGGTGTTCCTAGGGTACCATGTCTGTTCTCCTGTCTGTTTTTTCTACAGGGCTTTCTAGAAGATCTCACCCACCCCAAGATTTTAATGATCATATCTCTGCTAATTACATTGACATTCATATTTCCATCTCTAGATGTAGCTTCCCTAAGGTGGAAGCATCTACCTAGCTTCTTCCTGGACATTTCCATAGTCACCTCACGTTTACCAAGGCCAGACTGACAGCCTTCTGTCACTCAACCTGTGCTCTCTGCATCCTGTCCCAGGTAATGTTGTGTTATTCCACCCATCTCTCAATCTAGAAGCTTTTCCCTCATTCCCTCTGTACTAAGTCACCCAGGGTCATTGATTCTGTGACTTCAAGGCTTCAGAACTTTGTCCTATTTTCCATTTTTGGAACCATTGCCTTAGTTCAGACTCATACCGTGTTTTTTTTTTTTGTTGTTGTTGTTTGTTTGTTTGTTTTACAGACTCTTGCAGGCTTCTCTAATTCCAAGGATCTCACCTCCAGTCCACCTCTCACCTTGATGACAAAGTTATTATCCTGAACATACCCGATTTTGTCAGTTCCCAATTAAAAAAAAAAAAAAAAACAAAACAAAACCCCAAACCCCCAAACCCTCTTTTCTCCCTCTGACCTGTAGCAGGGTTAAAGAACTGTAGGCTACCGCGGATGGGTGACTCATGGAGCCGATGTGATAGGGTTTGCAGCAAACACGCAAAGGTTCGCAACAGAACATATCAGGATGAATTTCAAGAAAAGATGAGCCTTGTTTTGTAAAACTTTTGTTTCAGTTGCACATCTGTGTGTGGACTCACTAGGTTGTAATGTAACACGTTTGTCTTCTGGGGCAGCGTTCCCTGAACGGTTAAAAAACAGTGCTGGTGGGCGCCTGGGGGGCTCAGGCGGTTAAGTGTCTGCCTTTGGCTCAGGCCATGATCTCAGCGTCCTGGGAGGGAGCCCACGTCAGACTCTCCGTTCAGCAGGGAGCTTGCTTTTCCCTTTCCCTCTTCCTGCTGCTCTGCCTACTTGTGCACTCTCTCTTTCCCTGTCAAATGAGTAAATAAAATCTTTAAAAAGCAAAAACAAAAAACCCAAACAAACAAAACAAAAAACAGTGCTGGCTTCTATAGTCTCATCTACATTCCTTGGCTTGGCAGGTGAGACCTTTCTCAGGCCTGCCTGAGTGTTCTCAGCTGGTGCTTCTGTGCTGTGAGAAAACCCTCCTCAGGTCACGTGGAAGAAAAAAACGTCTCACTATGGCCTGGCAGGTCTGGTTTCCTGTCTGTGTGATGCCTTTGCCCTTGCTGCTGGGTACACCACTCTTGTTCCCTTTGGGCAAGCTGGTCCTTGTTGTATCTCAGTGTCATCTTCTCCAGCCCTCCCCGGGCAGAGCTATTTATTCCCTCCCTCCACGCAGCCATCCCCAAGCTTCCTGCTCCTTCAGTGTGACTTCGGTCTCTTTGGAATGTGATTTACTTGTTACCCTGTCTTATTTCTCTTAGGAAGCCATGCAGAGGACAAGTGTAGAGGCCAGTTAATCTTTGTATCTTTGGTACCCAAGCAAGGGATCTGGCACACAAAAGAATTCAAGAAATACAGGGAAACATGTGTGGTCACAGGGTTAGTTTGGTGGCTGTATTAAATAGGAGTATGGATGTGCATGCATAGCGTACTTTCTGAGTTATTTGACTCCTCTATATGTTTGCCACCTCAACTCAGTGCCCCTGAGGCCAGACGTCGATCAAAGAGTGCCCTATGCCACTGTTCCTGGCTAAGGAGGAGTCATTTGATGTGAAATTCCATGTGCGTCTTGTCACGTGCCAACAGCAACATGACACGAGTCTCTGCCCGGGTATTGGGTCTCTCATCGCTAAGTGAGGTCAGTGTCTTGTGGTGTTGGTCCAATGTCATTTATGCTCTGTCCTCACAAAGCCTGAGATTACCCCCCTTCTCTGTGGCCTGAAGCTCCCGGAATAAGCTATTTGTATAGCTAATGATAAGAAAGATACAATTCCATTTTTTAGTCTCTGAATAACCTCAGGAAAGAGGGGAGGTGTTGGCCTGAAGGGAAGTTTACTTCCTGTTATATTATTTTTACTTCGCCACTACCTGTGAATGTTTTTGAATTCCTCTCAGAACAGGGTCAGCCACCCTGTCTCAGCATGACTGAGTCATGTTCCAGAGTGTTCTTCCTGGGAGAGAATAATTGGGCCCAAGATGGACACACATCGGTTTCACCTGTACGACTTAGGAACTTGGGTGACCTTTGACAGATGACTTATATTTTTGGGAGCTTTGGTTCCGCCCTGTGGTAGAACAAGGACATACTACTTCCTTTACGGGGTAGTTTTGAAGCGTGGATGGGTTAAACTGTGAAGCACTCTCCAGATGTAGCCTTTTGAGAGCAAAGAGAAAGAAGAGAGTGGAGAACAAGAGAGAGACAATGGGACACGGGAAAAAAGACAGAAAGAAGGAAATGGGACCTCAAGTGGGAAGGAAAAGACTGGGCCCATCTCTTGGCTCTCTTGCAGTAGATGGCCTTCGGGGATTCTCTGCCAGCCTTGGTTGGGGGTCTTCTGCATGGCAGACACCAGCATGGTGCTCCAAACTCATCATGAATCAGGGAGCTTCTAAACAGAAGGAATCTATGGCAGGGTTTCTCAACCACTCTTTACATTTGGGGCTCAATAATTCTTTGTTGGCAGGGGGAGCTTTCCTGTGCATTTCTTGACTTTTATCCACTAGATGACAGTAATTGCTGCCCTCTAGTCCTCCTCAACTTGTAACAATCCCAAATATCTCTAGACATGGACCCATGTCCCCCAGGAGGACCCCTGTTGAGAATCACCGTTCTAGACAGTAGGTACTCGCCCTCCTGCCTATGGCCCGTCCAGCTGAGAGGCAGCTGGTGACGTTCGGTACATCACCCCTGGCAGTGTAGACGCTGAGGTCTGCACCTGGAAAAATTAAGTGAATGAAGCTTTGAAAGAAAGGGGGACTTTCAGCATCTTCAGTAAAGACCTTACCAAAAACCACCGATGTGAAATTTCTTCCAGGTAGGCAAGGAGAGAATGAGAAAGCTAGTGAGAACTAGGAACAAAAAGGGCCCTCCTTTTACTTAGTGAGCTATTTCTCGGTTCTAAGCCATGAACTTGGGATCAAGGGCTGAGCAGCTGGCTGTAACTCTGACCCAAAGGAACCCAGGCAGATGTCCGCTCTGGGTGATCAGCTCCTTGGAGTGATTGGAGCAGAGGCGGGGAGAGCTGGTGTCAAGTGTTCTCTGGCTCTTGTGCTCCACACCACTGGAAACAAAAAATCCTTTCATCTGTTTTCTAGAAAGCGCCCCATTTTCTGTACTCTTCCTGCTGGTGCTTTGCCAAGAAATAACCAGTGGGCTTCTCCAGAGAGCGGTGGTTCCTGATAAAGTGGTGGAACCCTTTTTCTCAAGGCGTGGGCTGGCACATCTGAGAAGGTTTTAGAGTTGGGTCTGCTCCCAGCATGTGCTGCTGCTCTTGGCTTGGCCAGAGATGTGTGTGCAATGATGTCGTGGAAAAAAAATCTGTGGAGCAGAGAAATGACGAAAACCAGAGGAGATGCCACGTTCCCTGTACATTTGAAGAAAAACTTAAAAACTGTGCAAAAATCGCCCAGTTAATAGGAGACAAGCGAGAAACGCAAATCCATTTGTGATGAAGGCATTGGGAAATGGCAAAAAGTGGGTCTGAACACAGGAACCCTGGCCTGCCCAACAAGGCACTTGGCTCTTAAAGGCAGCCCCGGGCTTCCTCCCCAGCAGCTGGTTTGGCTCACCTGCGCCTCGCTGTCTTAACCTGCAAAATGGGAATATCGATATTATGCCATTTCACAGAGGTGATGAATCTACTAACTAAGATGCTTGCAGCTTTCCTGACAGCTGAGGCTTAAAAGGGTCAAAATGTTCTCCCTGCGTCTTTGTGTTATGACAACATTCACCTGCGTCGTGGGAGTCAGCTTTCTGGGTGTGTTTTTGATTGCACCAGTCTGGGTATTTATCTTTACAGTATAGCACTATTACCCTAAGGTACATATTTTTCAGATCATTATAAGATTCCTGGTGTGATGACACCGGGGAGGGAAAAACCCCGGCATGCAGGCCAGCCTTGGAATGGTTGGAGCATTTATGGCAAGACTTGCTTATGTCTCAGCTGCACATCTGCAATGAGCACTAGACCATACTTAACCCATAATGTATGGTTTTAAGGTCACTGCCGGTTATTATCTGACCGGTAATGACCGCAGAAGTCTGCATTATTGCTATTAGGAGCCATTTCTGTACTATTTTTAGATTTCCTTTTTATTGAGTGCCTGCCGACACCCCCAGAGTTTCAGATTTGGGTTACATTAGCTGAAACTCCCAGTGATTTCCCTGGGTTTTATTTTGGGGTGAAGCTGGTATGTAACTGCTGTTTTTGCTTGTATGCTGTCAAGGGGATTGAAGTTTATTTGAAACGTTCCTTTTATTTTGGAATGGCCCTCGGGGCTTCTTACCCCACGAAGCCCTATTTTCTCCTCCTTTAAATTAGGGATTAAGGTTGGAGGAGGAGCTGGATTTGTTTATTTTCTGACTCTTTCTGAAGAATTAGTTATTATGTCTCGGAAATAATCACCATGTCAATATTGTATATTCTGGGATCATAAAGCATTATATATTCTGGGCTTTACCTCTCTCTAAGAAGAAGTAAGAACAGAGTCCAAAGTTAACTGATTGTGTTTCCCCCAGAGTTGTAATTTTGAATCATATTTATGATTGTTTGCGTTACTGATCTTACTGAGAAAATAAGCAGCGCGGAATCTGAACTGGTAAGATCTTTATTTTTCCAGTGCGTAAGCATTTCTTTTTGAAATATTTACTGTTAGAGCACACACCATGGAGTGGTTTTTCTGCGTGTAAAAGCTCGTTATTTTGTGGTTAGCTTCAGTTAGCCTTCATTTTCTGTGGAGATTCAGATAATTATTCAGAAAGTAATACAAGGGGAAGGAACCAGGAATGTGGTACTGTGACAATTTGATCCCAGATGTGAATTCTCTCCCTGAAAGTGCATGAGTGATAGGAGAGATTTTATTCAGCTGAACAGTTGGATATAAAGGTCTTAATAATGCAACCTCATTTTGACAGCTTTTACTGTTGGACAGCAGGCTTCATTATATTTGTTATGTTGATTTATTATTTTTAACGTCTTTTACATATGTACGCATGCTATGTAGCAATTTCATCTGTATCTTTTTCTTCCCATTGCTATGTGGCCTCATGAAGGGATATATTAACATTTTTAATGGGAAATTTTATGTAGGGACAAGAAACAACAAACTAACATTAATTATTATACTTGTCTAAGGTAAAGAAGAATCTCTACCATATATCTTTGTCTATTTATGTAACTGTCTAATGGTGGATAAATTATACCCTAGTTGCCGCAGTAAATTAAAAAAAATAATAATCCATGCTAGAAAAGCAGTTTTATAAATCTATGGTTCTACAGAAATATTTCAGGAGATGATGAAGCTTCCCCAAGACTTTGTTATTATGTCATGCACAAACCTTTGCTAATGGGTGTCATTGTGGTCCACTTATTGAGACAATAATTATGGTCTGTGATATTTTAAGGTATCTTTATAATCGCACCAGCATAGTTTTTTCTTCGTAAGAGAAATCTGATGAGTGGAAAGTTTTGCTCCCTATGATTTTTTTGTTGAACTGGAACATTTTTGAGTTTGGGTGAGCGATCTCTTTTCTACTCTTAAATAACATAATCCCAAGAAGTTTTAAATCAATGTGCTAATTGGTAAGTGATACTGTAATTATATGCATAATCAGGGAAAATTTGAATCCAGATTATTTACTTGTCTTAGGAAATTAATCTGTAGAGGTCATACATTAGATTGCTTGTTTATTAAGTGGAACCCCTGTAGTTACAAAGTGCCGACTGGCTCTGCCCCTCCATGGAGCATTCTTCTCGATGTTCCCAGCAGGTGTCAATGGCACAGAGCCTCGAGCGCTTATTGATCCAGATTCAAACAGTTCATTAATCTAAGCACACATTATATAGATTTTTCAATGTAATTTTGAAAGGGTTGAAAAACTATATTGAATGATGAGAGATAATACTCAAATTATGCTTTTTATAGCACATCTCCCTTGGGATGGTGGCATTCTAACTGGGATGGATACTGGAACACAGGCTATGGTTCCCTCTGGATTTCATTTTTCTTCCACTTCCCTATTCCTAGGTGGTTGTTTAAACAATTTGCCCAGAATGACTCTTTCATGTTTTTCTCCCCTTTCCTATTTGGCATAATCAGTGAGGCTAATTTCAAAATGCCAAAATAAAAAAGTCAGCTCCAGAGAGCTGAAGGCTGGGAAAAAAAGAAAAACAAACAAACAAAAAACCACCTACGAAACAACACATTTTTGGGGATGTTTTTGTCTTTCTTAGGCATACAGTGAAATTTTCCTTGAAGTTTTTTCAGTTCTTCTCAAGACCTTTGCTTTTATTCAGGTACCAGCTGGTTTCAAATAATATATTATGTTCTAAAGTAAACAAAGTGACTCTGAGATCTGGAAAGGATGCTATCAATACTCATTGCACATATTTTAATCCTCACCATTATGGCTGCCATTTTGTCCATCTCTAGTTGAGCCAAAGTAATGTTCCATGCAAATGGGCTTGACTTGTAGGCAGAGTTAGGTGATGTTTGGCTCTTCCTTGGCCTGTTGCACCTGATGTCAGCTCCTTTGATTTGGGATAATGCCCCTACCGCCTCTCTTAGGACAGAGGCTGAGAGAGGCAAGGAATTAATTGTCTTGTTCATACTAATGTGGAAATGAGTGATACTGGCTCATTTTGTAAAAGAAAAAGGAGCAGCAATAGACAGATAATAAGAAGTTAACAGGAAGAGAAAGCATACAAAAAGGGAAAGGCTGGAGATAATTGAAGTGCCCTTCCTTCAACATGACTCGTTGTGTATCTTGTTTCAAGAGTCATAACTTCTCAACTGAACTGTAATATGAACAGAATGTTTCTTTGATTAGTACAGAAATATTTACTTAGTTTTGTTACATTCTGCTAGGTTAGTAGAAAATTGTGGTCATATTCTCCTTGTATCTCATTTGGAACAACTTTGTGGGTTTCATCCTTTCTTTTAACCAGGATCTATTAAGCCCTGTGATATGTTCGGTGCTAGAGAAAGCAAAGCAAGTTAGGTGCCTTGATTTAGAGGCAGTCAGGTCACAGACTTGTCACCAAGTATGCGATTATGGCAAGTTGGCAAGTCCTGGACTTTCAAGAGCAAACACAGTCTATAGATGTTCAGAGGGAGGGGCAGACCTCATGGAGAAGTTTACCAATGGTGTTTTCCAAAGCTGGGGAGCTTCCTAGAAATGTTCAATGTCTTTAACAGAACAATAGGGGCTATATTTTAATTTTATTTCAAACCTAAGGTATCTGTGTCTTCCCATCTTAATGAATTGGCTTGAGATGCTACAATACTGCTGACCTGTTGGATTAAAATGCTATCATGCTTAAGGAAGCTTAACTAGTGGGTACAATTATGCTTACTCAGACATTTGCTGCTGATTAAAACTTTATTTCCAGAGCCGACCCATTGTTTCAGAAGTAATTTGTGCATGATTATGGAAGTTACTGTTACCTATTTATGCTAACTTTAACATATTCGGTACTTAAGTATTGAGTCATTGAGTTATTAAGACGGGTTTGCCTTATATGGTCATAGTTTAGATAAGAAGAGATGCCTTTAATTTTTAAGGAGAACACAATTAAAAGCAACTTATATTTTGCTTTCCATTACCTAGTTCAGAGTGTAGGTGGGCCTGAGTTAATATAGAAGCAGCAGATATTATTCCAAATTGTAAGGATGAGAATGAAGCCTCAGCAGATCCAGGTGTGCAGAAGAGGTTAATAAAAAGAGTCTGAAATGGGAAATGGAGGACCGTGTCAGCTTCAGGCTTTAGTTTGACACATATTCACTCTCTCCAAAAATACCTGCCATGGGGGCTTTCAGAGTTCGCTTTTCCTTTGACTGTTTTGGATGAGCGATACTTGAGGTCAGGGGTCAGCAAACTTTCTTCTTCCTCTTCTTTTTTTTATTATTTTGTTTTTTTCATTTTTTAAACTAAAGGACCAGAAAGTAAATATTGTCGGCCTTGTAAGCCATATGGTTTCTTTTGCAAGTACTCAGCTCTGCTGTTGCTCTCTGAAAGCAGCCATAGGCAGTACATAAATGAATGGTTGTGACTGTCCCCCAATAAAACTTTACCTGCTAAAGCAGGTTGTTGGCCATATGTGGCCTGTGGGGGACCAAAGTTTGCTAACCCCTGCTTTATGTCATCGTTTCCCAAACTTTAGTCACTTTGGTTGTATTGTCATGATATTGCTTAATCTGAGTAGATTTGAGTAGAAAATTACTTCATTTTCTACCTCATGTTAATGTAATTTTAAAAGAAACCCCACAAATTTACTTTAAAAGAAACTTTATGTAACTACCTTATGTGGAAAAGCAGGATTATGTGTTATTAGTAAGGGATCTTCACCAAAAACTAAGTAAAATGAAAACAAAATGATAACAAAACAATACAGTCATGTCCTCCTACTAATTGTGTGCCTACCATGTTGTGGGAATCACTGACTAAGGCTATTGTAAGTAAAAAACAGGACAGCTTGAAAATTGGTCTCTCAGATTTGATGACTATTTGCTTAGATGTTTTAAAAGAATGTGAATGGCTAGGCATCATCATGGAGGCAGTGGCTGAAGAACCGCTGGGAGCAGGGACTTTTGCCTGGAAGATCAGGTCATTTTGGGACCCACCAAGAGGGTGGGCTAGTGTCGTCAGACCAACGACAGAACACCCATTGAATTTGAACTTTAGACAAACAATGAATAATTTTTTAGTGTAAGTATGCCTCATGCAATATTTGGGACTTACTTATGCTAAGACTTTGTTGTTTACCTGAAATTCAAATTTAACTGCATATCTGAGTTTTGTTTTTTTTTCTTCTGAAATTTGGCAGTCCTACCTTGGCCCAACAGCAAGGAGATAGTGCAAAGATATTCAGGTGGGAAAATGTGCAGGAAAGCAGCACCTTAGGGTATGAAAATTTAGTCTATGGTTTTGATCTCGGTAGGGGACAGTAAGATGGCCTGACTGGGAGGTATGGGTCAGAAATTAAGTGAGGCTCTTGTGACTTGGAGTCCCAGCCAGGAGTTTGTACACGATCCATTTCCGCTCCAGAAAACCACTGAAGGGTTACAAAGAAGGGCATGTGTGATAGGGCAGAAAATAATCTTTCAAAGAACTTTACTGTTAGCCTATTTATGTAGCTATATCATCCCTTCAGTGTTCTGGAAAAATAATCAAAGGAGAATTTAGAGCTGTTCTCAGATTGTCAGTTTTTCATCTAAAAATGTTAATGTATATTAAACTTAATTATAAAAAGCATATCCCATCACAAACTATTTTTAATATGGAATATTTAGCTGCGGTGCACATATTCTGTTCCGAGCTCCACCAGGCTATTAACCAGAATAATCTGCACTTAAAAATGAACCAAATCAGTTTGTATACCCCCAGGTTAGGTCCCAAACAAATTACATTATTTAAACTGCCATCCTTACCATGCACAGACGTGTTTTTGGTTGTTCTATGTGGGAAAAGTTGCAATTCCGTTGTGAGTTTTGGATGGCATCGGAAATGTCAGCTGTCGACAGAGCTATTTGTGGAAAAGAGAAACGTGGAATCTCATTACAGGTCTTTAGACCTATTTTTCTCTTCCTTTTTGTTTTAAAATGATTTTGTATCTATAGTTGCAGGACTTGAGGACTTGAAAGGCCATGGCATCGCCTAGATTTAAACTAAATATTTGTGCAAGTTTGTGAGTTTATATGAGGATGCATTTGGACATGAAAATCAAATGTTGGCAGGAATCTTCTGTTCTCTTGTCTCTTCTTGGTGATTTGGATTGATTATAATCAGGAAATAGTTTTAATATGACAGGACCCTGGTGATTCCTAATTCTAGGCGTCAGGTGCAGCCCCCACTTCTGTTTCCCTTTGGAAAGGACTGCAGAGCCTGCAGAAGGAAGTTGCCGGTTCAGACGGAGAATGAGCGCATGCCTAGCTCACCTGGCCACTAGGTGGCGCTGCAGCCATACGGAAGGGTGGTCACAGATACACAGTTTGGCTGTGGCATTAAGGGAGTTCTCCAAGGCTGGAATTGGGAGATGTTAGTTTTTGTATCTCGGGCTTCCCTGGACTATGGAGCTTTCTGGATTCTACTGCATACTTTGTATATCTGAGATGCTGCTGAAAAGGGAGAGGATTATTTGATCGGGAATGCGATATTTTTTGCATTTGTGTTCTAACACACAAGCCATCCATACATAGCCAAAGATTTGCTAGACATTGGTGTTGGTTGTGGAGTGGGAAGTGAAGGGAAATATCACACTTCCATAGTTTCTAAGCAGGATGGGCTGTTCCAGCTGAGCACCTGACAGTGTTCTGACCTATGGATCCGAGTGAGAAGCAGTGCCCTTTCCTTTGGTCTGCTGCAGGGTCTATGGGAAGTGTTCTCTTGGCATAAACGACTGTCTGCATGATGGTAAACCACACTGCATCTCTTTTTATGCAAGCCTCCTCTTTTGGCTGTTTTCTCTCGTTTTTAACCATCGAGAAGAAATTATCATCCAAAAGAATATTTTTTGATTTTTCTTTTTGAACAGAAGCCAAGTGTTTGAAACCCACACTCCCAACTATTGCTCCAAAGAAGAGAAGAAACCAAGGAAGACTCTGGTAGGAGTGTCAGAGTGAAAACTACATAACAGCAACCCAAGTTGCTCTCGAAACAGAAGAATTCCAGGAAAGAATTAGCAAAACTCTTTCCTAAGTAGTGACAGATGTGGTATTGATCGAAATTGAAGTGTGCCTGGTGAAATAAAATTCTCTACCAATCACTTAAAGAAAAATGTGCTGAGGGTATATCTGCAGTTAAATCATCAAACAATGGGATTCATAATGAAATGATCTTAGCTTTTTGTTTATTGAGGTCCTGCTATGTGCCAGGTCTTGTGCCAGATACCTTGAAATCATTGCTTAATCTTTAGAATAGGTTTTTTTTTAAAGAAAAATATTTTATTTATTTATTTATTTCAGAGACAGAGAGAGCATGTGGGGAGGGGTGGAGCAGAGGGAGGGGGACAAGCTGACCTCACTCTGAGTGTGAAGCCCCACGAGAGATTCGATTTCACAACCCTGAGATCATGACCTGAGCTGAAACCAAGAATCTGACACTCAACTGATGGAGCCACCCAGGTCCCCCAGAATAGGTTTTGAAATGGGTATTTTCATCCCATTTGTCACATAAAGAAATGGTGGTATGGACAGGTCAAGTACCTGGCTTGTGTTCTAACAACTTAAAGAGCTCTACTTTGAATTAAGTCTGTTAGGTTCCAACACTGTGTCTTGGTGTTTAGGGAGGGACTTGATGATGGAATGGAAGGTAGAGATATTATCTATGTCACTTCTCATTGCTCCTTTAGGACCTGCCTCAGCACCTGGCGCATAGTAGGACTTCTGTATACAATTGTTCAACTGATAGATAAATACCAGAGGACTGAAAGTATTTCATGGTGTTTAGTTAGAAACCTTGGGAGTTCCTGGGGTGAAATCTGAAACTGGTTCCAAACATGGAGGGCAGAGAGAGTCTGAAGAAGAGGGCAGACCACACTAGACTGGGAGATGTTTAGTAGGCCAGGGAACTTACATCTGAGGCTTGTTTTGTGTCGCTATACAATGAGTAGATATCCGCACTCACCCATCAAAATCTTTAGAAT